CACCCCACTACCACCAACCCTAACACATCTTATTGCCTAACTCTGCTTTATTTTTTCTCCTTTGCACTTAGCAGTATCTAATGTCTCATACACATTACCTATTTATAATATTTATTCTGTCTCCTTCAATGGAATACAAGTTGCATCGATTTTTGTCTGTCTTGTTCATTACTATATCCCCCAGCACTTAGAACAGTGCCTGGCATATAGTGAGTATTATTAAATGAATAAATGATTGCATGGATAATGTGTTGTTTTGTTAACATCTTTATTCATTTGTTTTAATGAATAAAAAAATTCTTTAATTAGTACATCAAGTTTTGTGTGCAAATGGGGCTTTTAAAATACATCTTAAATACATTCTCCACTGATCTTATTTATACTGTGAACTGCCTCAAAAATATTTTTACATAATTTGCAAAGTGCAGATTTTACCTCAGCTCCTATATAAATCAACACGTATTCTTAGTGCCATAATTGAGGGTTTTTATTAAAGTAATGTGACCCCATTACAAATTAACTAATAAGCTACATTCTTTTGAGTGGAGTGGTGCAAGGCACAGTTCTAAACCAGGTTCTCACTTATCCAGTGAGACCCAAGCCCTTGTCATACTGTGACAAAGCTATTGAAATATTATTCTAAGTGGTTACCCGGTCGCTATCTCTTCCTTCCTAAACATACGTTTTATTCTCAGATCAGTGTTGCTAAGGCAGATCTCTGGTTATATGAAGCTCAAAAGTCTTCAGAACTTCAATCAGCTCATTGTGCTTACCACCTCCACCTCCTTACCTTTCCCTACAGCCTTCCTGAATCTGATTTATTTAGAATTCATATCTAGGCTGGAGCAGCACTGTGATCAGCACATAGTGTGGTGTTGTTACTGGTTCTTGTGACTCAGGCTCTAAATTTCTATTTTAAAAAATTAAGATTACTTTTCCCCTTTTTTATACCGGCATTGCTCTATGGGTTTACACAGAGCTGATATTCAACTAAACACTCCAGATCTTATTTATATGACCTTCCATCGGGCCGAGTTTCACACATTCTTAGTATGGTTTGTGAACGAAATGCAACTGTCTGCAGTTGGCCCTTTTTATTTTTATTTTTTTGTTAATCCTCACCCAAGGATTTTTTTTTTTTAGGGAGAGAGGGGAATGAAGAGGGAGACTGAAGGGGGAGAGAGAGAGAGAGAAACATTGATGTGTGAGATACACATCAATTAGTTGCCTCTCATAGGGATGGAGCATGTACCCAAGGTATGTAACCTTGACCAGAATTGAACCCTGGACCCTTCGGTCCGAGAGCCAACACTCTGTCCACTGAGCCAGACTGGCTAGGGCTTTGGCCCTTTTTAAATCACTACTTTTCTTTTTGAAATTATGTGTCTCTTGATTGTGCCATCTTCTCTCCACTTCTGCTATTATCATAGCCCTCGTTGCCTTAAGCCCCTGTGGAAAAAAGCAGAGAGGGAGGAAAAGAGGAAGCAAGAGGGGAAAGGAACATTATTCCTCACATCTGAAACTATCTCAGCCCCCTCCTCCTTCCAAACCATTTCCTATGTAGCTAGGGGCCGGGCAGGGGGGTGGGGAGGGAATCTTTCTAAAATCAAATCTGGTGATCCCGTCCTTCCCCAGATAAAATTTCCTCAATGGCTGTCCATTACCTTCATCGTGGCCTCAGACCTTTTGTAATTCATTTCCCACCCACATCTCCAGCCTTATTCCTCTCTGCTTATCATCCCACGGCTCGCCCTCTCTGTCTCTGGCTTTGCACACATTGTCTCCCTGGGTTGACAGCCTCAGTCCCCAGCTTTTCTTCCTGTCTAACTGGAGTTCCTTCTTCAAGACTCAGCTCTGGCACTTCTTGCTCTAAGAAGCCTTCCTTGTCCCTCCTAGAGTACACTGTGCAAGGGCCCTGCTCTCTGTCCCAGTAGCACCCAGGTTTACCTCTATTATGACGCACATACACTGGTTTAGAATTGCCTATTCGCTTTGCTTTCTCCTCATGCCCAGACTGTTTGTGAACGAGTGTGTCTTTCATCTCTATAACTCCAGTGTTAAGGACAGTTGCCTGGTGTTTGTATCAGTTTTTGTTGCCAATAAAATTATTCCTGATTTTTCTTTTTCCTGTTCATCCAAGAAGAGACACGAGCAAGGTCAAAATGAACATGGTAGAATTTGATTTAAACAAAACTAGGGTATCAGTCTTAATCTTTTAATTAGCATAGTGATCATTGAAACTTTACCTCACATTGTCATTACAATACAAAGAGTGTGATGTGCGACTATTAAAGCTATCAGTGAGATCATTTTAATTTACCCTCACCATAAAACAGAAAATAAAATAGACAGAAATAATGTCATAAATGGGGATTCTCTGAGACACAGTTTCTCGGTGCCAATTGCATAGTGAAACTTGCACTGTGGTCTGGGGAAATTGAAGACATTTCTGTCCTGATTGGTTTGCCTTTCTGTGACAAATGAATACCTCAAAGAGGACTGAGCACTGTCCTTCAGCCATGGCCCTCTTCAGTGTTATTGTCACTGATAAGGAGGAATTGTTTTACTGGAATGAGGGGGTTATGTAATATTTCTGATGACTTCTTAGTGCCTTCTTTTCTGAGATAACTTAAGTATATATTTATTCATTGGTAGTCTTTCAAGGGCCCATCCAGTTGAAAATCTATAATCATTAAGCCGCAATATTCTTCAAATAATGAAGGGCTCCTCTTTCTACAACTTTAACTTTACTTTCCCATCCACTAAAGTAACCAAATGAAATTAACCTATTTATTGCTAACCACTTTATTCCCTAGGCTATGTCAGCGAGAGTGTGTGTGTGTGTGTGTGCTGTGTGTGTGTGTGTTTCTTAACAAATCTAGGTTGCTCTTCAGAAACACAATTGTAGTCATCCTTTCCTTATGGTACCTAGATAATTATCAATTGATTAATCTGTATATTTTAATGACTTGGAATCCTACTTCTCTAAAGAAGCAGAAAAACGTTTTAAAGTCTAAGATAACTGAGACTTCATTACTTGTTGCAAAATAGAACTCATTTTAAGTGGTTAAATCCCACTGGGAAGTGCTAACATGAATAATTACCATTACATGCAATCTACCAAAATGAGTAGTTTCACCATTGCATTTAGTGATAGTAGCATCTTCAAATATGATTTACATTTATATCTCTAATGAAAATTAGTACATTCTTCACACTTTCTGATTTCTCTATCTCCCTTCTATGGCAGCATAACTTCTTACTGCTTGTATTTGCATTTGTAAATTACAGGGTAATGTTTGTGGCAGGCAATGGATGAATGTGTCTTGCTGAGAGCCTAGACTTGTAATATCTGAATTCCTCAAGAAAATATTTTATGGTACAGTCCACATTTCAATTTAATTCCTTTTCATTTGAAATGTGTTTTGAGTACCCTTTATGAGTTTATCATAATGTAGAATTTTGTGTCTCCAACCTGAAAAATTATACCAAAAGGCAGGAAAGTGACCTGGGGACAGCCGTGGTTGAAAAAACTTGAATGTCATGAAAAAATTGCTACCATATCTGGAATATTTGTTATATGTCAGGAGGTATGGTATGTGCTTTATGTGCTTTATTTCCAACCCTTGTCATGGAGGAAGTATTATCTTACCCATTTTGCTGGTTATGAAGGTTAGAATTCGGTAAGTTGTCCAAGGACAATGCTAGAAGGTGGCTGGGCTAATATTCACAGAGGTGTGTCTGATGTCAAAGTCTGGGCTTCCATTCTGACACGAGGCCACAAGTAAGAGTACGTAAGTGCCACAAACTTTCATGTTACCTCTATTGTCTTATCTTCCTAGACTCTAAAGAGACAAAGCATTTTCCTGTCCCACCCACATCAAAACATATATATACTGACAGTGCCCTGGTTAGCAGAGTTAGGAATCAGGGTATCATTCAGTTCATAATTTCCCTCCCTTTGACTTCTGGCAGAAGCTCTTTCTAAGCCAGAGCCAATTGTGCTTCTCTAATGACTTAGAGGGAGGATAGCCTGAGGCTTCCCGGAGAACTGCAGATCTATTTATCATCTTTTTGTTTGTCCCCTGGAGGATAGCCCACATGCAGCTTTAACTGGTCTCAGGGAGGCAGATATGTTGATTGTTTTTGCTCTATCAAGAAAAAACACTCGTAACAAGATTTGTCAGCTTTCTAGAATTATGAATACAATTTTTAAGCAATTATAAAAGTACTAGAGGCCTGGTGCACGAAATTCGTGCACTCAGAGGAGTCCCTCAGCCCAGCCTGCACCCTCTCACAGTCCTGGAGCCTTCGGGAGATGTCCAACTGCCGAGGAGGCAGGAAAGGCTCCTGCCACTGCTGCGCTCGCCAGCTGTGAGCCTGGCTTCTGCCTGAGCAGCGCTCCCTCTGTGGGAGTGCACTGACCACCAGGGGGCAGCTCCTGCATTGAGCATCTGCCCCCTGGTAGTTGGTGCGCATCATAGCAACTAGTTGTTCCACCATTAGGTCGATTTGCATATTAGCCTTTTATTATCTAGGATATGTATATTTACCAAAACTTATTCCTTGCACCAAAAAAAATATTTATTCAGCTGATTTAGTTGCAATCAAATGTAGTGACCAGAAGACATATTAAAGATGAGACCTGTTAAAGATGCTGAGAAACTCCACAGCTTGGAAAATATGTAATTACCAGTTTACTACAAAAAACAATTAACACCTCCCTTAACTAGGAATAAAGAAATTTGGAGTAAGACCAAGAGCCAAGCATCTAGCCAGGATGTTAGAACCTGAGGGTAGGAGCCCATTGGCTCAATGAGATAGGACTCTTCTCCTAGAAAGAGTCCAGATTACTCATTCCTGAATAAATCATAGGCAATGCCTTTTTTAAAAGATCAGAGTTTCTTTTTACTGAGACAAAGTAGTAAAAATGAGCATGGCTTTCTGTCTTTGGCTTCACCTCTCTTTCTTTCTTTTTTGCCTTTGCTCCTCTTTCCCAGGTTTCTAGCCAACACCACTTTCAGAGGCCTCAGTGGTTCCATCAAAGTAAAAGGTTCCTCTATCATCAGCTCAGAAAACAACTTTTTCATCTGGAATCTGCAGCATGACCCCATGGGAAAGCGAATGTGGACCCGCTTGGGCAGCTGGCAGGGAGGAAAGGTTGTCATGGACTATGGAATTTGGCCAGAGCAGGCCCAGAGGCATAAAACTCACTTCCAAAACCCAAGTAAGCTACACCTGAGAGTGGTTACCCTGGTCGAGCATCCATTTGTCTTCACACGGGAGGTAGATGATGAAGGCTTGTGCCCTGCTGGCCAACTCTGCCTCGACCCCATGACTAATGACTCTTCCATATTGGACAGCCTTTTTAGTAGCCTCCATAGCAGTAATGATACAGTGTCCATCAAACTCAAGAAGTGCTGCTATGGATATTGCATTGATCTGCTGGAAAAGCTAGCAGAAGACATGAACTTTGACTTTGACCTCTATATCGTTGGAGATGGAAAATATGGAGCCTGGAAAAATGGGCACTGGACTGGACTAGTGGGTGACCTCCTGAGTGGTTCAGCCCACATGGCAGTCACTTCCTTCAGCATCAATACTGCACGAAGTCAGGTGATAGACTTCACCAGTCCTTTCTTCTCCACCAGCTTGGGCATCTTAGTGAGGACCCGAGACACAGCAGCTCCCATTGGAGCCTTCATGTGGCCACTGCACTGGACGTTGTGGCTAGGGATTTTTGTGGCTCTGCACATCACTGCCATCTTCCTCACCCTATATGAATGGAAGAGCCCCTTTGGTATGACTCCCAAGGGGCGGAATAGGAGTAAAGTCTTCTCTTTCTCTTCAGCCTTGAATGTCTGCTATGCCCTCTTGTTTGGCAGAACAGCAGCCATCAAACCCCCAAAATGCTGGACTGGAAGGTTTCTCATGAACCTTTGGGCCATTTTCTGTATGTTTTGTCTTTCTACATACACGGCAAACTTGGCTGCTGTCATGGTAGGTGAGAAGATCTATGAAGAGCTTTCCGGGATACATGACCCTAAGGTAATGCTTCCTTTTTAACTCTCTTTATTATCCATTATAACTCCATATATTGTGTCTTATGCTGTAGTTTGTTTATGTTCTTTCATCTAACACAAAATATTCTCTCAGCTCTCTGTAGAACAGTCCAAAAATCTGTTGCCTTGTTGAATTATATATTTTATTGTTGTATTAAGTGAAACAAAAAGAGTGAAGAGTTTCAGGGGGCATCTGTGCTAGAGAAAGTCTTTCTGGTAGAAACATCTATTAGCACAGTTTTTCCCTGTGTTATCTGACTGACAGAATGGCTCTCTGGGAATAATCTTACCAAGCATATTCACCCAAAGCATATTTCAAAAACAGATTATTTCTCTTTGGAATGAATGGAAATAAATAGTATAATCCATATTTTAAATAGTAAAGAATCTTTTTTTCACCATTGAAAATTAGTAAAATGCTAAGAACTAACATTTTATCATAAGCTCCCAAAGTCAAATGCTAGGGAGCTCAGTGGGTTTATAAGAAGGAATGCTGAACTAACTGAAGTGGCAAGATTAGTTAAGAACAGGGTGTCCTTATAGAGTACAGAAAGCTGTAGAGCTGGTCACCTTGGGTTGGGGGTAGGTCACCAGCAGTTACATTACAATTGCCCAAGGACATTTAAGAAAATTGTATTTAATATAGGCTGCCTTTTATATTCTAGATATTTGACTTTAAAGGTAGAAGGATGGAGGAGGGTGGGGTTCAGGTGAACTGGTAAAGCAGTGGTTAAGTTTCACAAATCAGAAACAAAGATTGCCAAAATTAAGTCAGGATGCTATGCAGGAGAAACATAAAGCAATGATTTTAGGGGATTAAAAGTAAAATCATGAAGATAAACCATACATAGCAGTAAAACAAGTTTCTAAGCAAAAGAAACAATCATTCCATTCCCCACTCCACCACAATAGAAAGGTGAAATTATAAGCCTACCCCAGCCCACAGACAAAGTGAGTAAAACTGGACAAGGTCAAGTTTCTGTTATAACTAGCAAGTTCTTCATGCAGTGAGACAGGCCTAAATGTAACCACATTTAATTTCAGGTAATACATTAATTTCTGCTAAGGTTCTCAAAAAATGTATATATTTTTCCTACTGTTGTTTCTATGTTAAAGTCTCATTTACCTTTTTTTTTCATGTAAGGACACCCAGATTATTTGACTAAGCAATACTTGACTTAAAAAGTAGGATTTGTGATTTGGATTTATACACAGTTCATTGGTGAATTGAGTCCTGGCTGCTTAAGTATCTGTAATCACAATATCAGATAACTTTCAATGAACATAATAGCTCCATTTTTCTTATTGATCATAACTGTTTAGCATGCTAGCTACACATTTAACACAATTTAAAAAACTGTTAAGAGTTAAAAATGTGAACATTTCATCACCATTTCAGCATTGAGATTCATTTGCTTCAACCAACTAATTTGAATCAGAAATAAAATGAAAAGCAAAAGGCTGTGCAGGACAGACCAATTTGTGATTCACTACATGTTGCAGTAGCCAAGGCAGGCTGGAACCTTTTTTTTTCTGATGGGGTGAAGAAAGAAATAACCCTTTTTCTGGCTGCTCTTACAGAGAACCCCAAGGAAGAGGGACTGGCTTGCTGCGCAAATGAAATTCAAGAGGATGGTTCTATCCTCACCTAACTATTTTGCCAGAATAATTTATTTTACACTAGAAGTAGTACATGTAGCTTCTCATGGCTCCCAACCATGGCCCCCCACCATGTCTCTTCTGGGAAGCAAGTTCCATGCTTCAAAGCACGTGGGCTCTTGAAGCATAAGACCATGAAAGAATCTCGGAGTGACATATTTAAGAGATGATATGAGTATTTCTCTGACATAGAACTAGCACTATTCACTATAGGCAATGCAGAAAATAGAGCAAAGTAGACAGATGGAAATAAACACCATTGGCCCATCATCCAAAGATATTTTCTCTTAGCGTTGTGAGATGATTGACAGGTGATAAACATTGCAGTATTATTTTTATCCAACAAGGTCTTCACCTGGGTCTATGATCTAAGGCAGGGGTCCTCAAACTTTTTAAACAGGGGGCCAGTTCACTGTCCCTACGACCGTTGGAGGGCCGGACTATAGTTTAAAAAAAAAACTATGAACAAATTCCTATGCACACTGCACATATCTTATTTTGAAGTAAAAAAACAAAACGGGAACAAATACAATATTTGTATTTGCATGTGGCCCGCGGGCCGTAGTTTGAGGACCCCTGATCTAAGGTATAGACCTGGGCATTCTTAGAACCTTCCAGCCATTGACATCCAATGTGCTGAGATATAAGACAAGATGAGAAATATCACTTCATAAATTGTGAAGTACATTGAAAAATAAATCTTACCTCTGCTCTTAGAGTTGAAGTGGCCCAGCTGAAAGGATACGTGAGCATCTGAAATGAGCTATCTGCTGATTTTAATAGACTTTCTAGTTCTTCTTTTCCAGCTTCTCACATAAAATGCCCCCTTTAGCCCTATTCTCTCAAATATTAAAAAAGTGTCATCTCCTTAGAGAGAATAGGAAGCTGTGTCATTTTTGTACAGGCAAATTATGGTACTGCTTTAGAAAAACAGTCCTAGTGAACGTTAAAGTAAATATTTAAAGTTAAATAGACCCGCTGAGAAGGCAAGAGCAAACTTTAACCAGAAATATTAAAGTAAAGGACATTCACATAGCTCTAGCGGGGATAAAGCATTTCCCCAAACAATAAAGACCACCTTTATTGATCTTCATAAAGCAGCATGTGGCTGCTTCATAAAACATATGAGTTCATATAATAAAAGCTGGCCTTGAAGAAGGGAGGGATGCCAGAACTCCAAGGCAAACAAGACACTGAAAACAGAGTTTGAGGTGAGAGGAAGGAAAACTGAACTACTCCAAACCATTCATTCTTTCTTTAATTCATCCAATAACAGCAACTTCTGTTCCAGGCGCCATGCTAGGTGGCTGGGTATTAAATAGTGAGCAAAACAGATATTGTCCTTGCAACGTGGAGTTTAATGGGAAGGAAAGACATTTATCAGGGGAGCCCATAAACCAGCTAATGAATTAAACCGTGGTAACTTACATATTAAGTTAAGGCAAATTATAATAGAATCAGAGAGCCTCACAGGAGACCTGATCTACCAGAAAATCAGAGAAAGGCCCCCAACCCAGACCCCTTCCCTTCGGAAAGTAGATCTAGCTTCGATCTGAAGGATGTAAATGAGCTCACGGGAGTTGGGGGTATTAGGAGAAGAGCATCTCAGGGTGACTGGGCAGCATATGCAGAAGCCCCTAGACTGTAGGGAGAGGAGTGCAGTTGTTACCACCCCGTCATGAGCTAAGAGATTGGAAAGCCAGGAAAAGGAAACAAGTGGATTTTGATCATCAGATGATCAAAATTTCTAGAGAGAAGTTTTCTCAAAAGAAGAAAAATCCAAGCAATGCTATAGTCTGAGGATAGGTGCATTTCCCATGAGCTCCATGTACTTTCAGATCAAAAACATAATGGGGGAAATGTTCCACTCACTTTGGCAACAAGAATTCATACTAGATCAGAAAAGCATCCTCTATAGGAATTGCATTACAGAAATCTTTAATGTAGAAACAAAAAAGATGATTTGGATAAAAAATTGAATGTGCTGATGGTGGCTTGTCAACATACTAAAAATCATTGAGTTGTGCACTTTAAATGGGTAAATTGTATGGTATGTGAGTAATATCTCAATAAAGCTGTTTTAATAATAAGCAAACAAATAAGTTGCCATGTTACCAAACTGGAAGACTGAATATTGAAATATGTCAAATTTTCTCTTAGTTTAATAGCTCTAAAGCAAGTCCAATCAAAATCCCAAAGGACTTTTCTTGTTTGTTGCTTAATCTTCTAAAAATAATATATTAACATTAATATAAAAATAGATTCGAGGGATTCGATATTAAAAACTTAATACTAGTAAAACTAACAGAGAAGCTAATACTCATTGACCGCTCCCATATGCCAGACACTCTTGTAAATCACATTAATATAATATATGCCCCCCCATTAAGTAGTCATGGAAAATAAAATAATCCAAGTGAAGCAACTTATACAAAAAACGCAAAATAACAAAAATAGTTCGAAGTCTTGTTAGAGCCCTGACTGGTTTGGCTCAGTGGATAGAGCATCAGCCTGCAGACAGAGGGGTCCCGGGTTCGATTCCAGTTAGGGGCACATGCCAGGGTTGTGGGATCCATCCCCGGGGAGGGGTGTGTGTAGGAGGCAGCTGATCCATGGTTCTCTCTCATCATTGATGTTTCTATCTCTCTCTCCCTCTCCCTTCCTCTCTGAAATCAACAATATATATATATATATATTTAGAAAAAACCTCTTCACTGTCAAGGTCATTTCATAATAAGATGCTTACTTTAATATCAATATTAATTATATTTATCCTGAACAATTAGTTCTTGCTCTTTCATTCTCTTCCTTGTTGTCAATGTGAACTTGGTAAATGGTAAGATTCTCTTTGTGGGATATCATCTGGAGAGCTTGGAGGCAAATTTCTTGCCTACAAAGAGCAGACTTATTGTCATTGGTGTATGCATTTAAGCACGATTCCTGGCTTCCGGTTGTTTCCCTTTCTACTTCATCTTATTTTAATAATGCTATTCTGCATTTTGTGACCTTTAAGCTGCTTTAAATCCTTTCAGGAAGAGACCAAGATATACATTAAGTAGTGTTCAAATCAAATAATAAATAAAGAATATTAACAGCAATCCAGAAAAAGAAATAAAATTGACTGAGAAATATAAAAATGTTAAATCTTACTTGTAATCAAAGAAATTCTAACTGAAACAGTAATGAAATGATATTATTTTTTTCCTCTTTTATTTTTTAGGTTTGTTAATCCTCACTTGAAGATATTTTTCCATTGATTTTTAGAGAGAGTGGAGGCGAGAGGGAGAGAGAGAAACATCGATATGAGAGAGACACATTGATTGGTTG